CTCATAACATAGCTGCAGAAAAACAAAAGAATTAAAAAGTTCTTCTTTTGTGAAATCGCTTAGAAATTATGTACGTTTCCTGAAATTTAAGAATAAGTTGCGCAGTTTACGTTGTAAATATTACTTAAACCTACAATATATTTATTGCATAGAAATATTTTTGCGCAGCTAGCCATTAGTAAACTCATTGCAAAAGCGACTTAAAGCAGTCAAGCTACTCTTTAAATCTTCGCTAATGGCCTTTTAAAACACCCAGTATATTTGGTCAAAATGCGCTCCTTTATTCTCTGAAGCACACCTTAAAATATTTATGCCTAATTAGGCAGTACTCGGATCTTGTACAAGTAAGGAAACTTTAAATTGTAATAATGTCTGTACAAAAGTAACTTCAGAAAATTTTTAAGAATAAAGAACAAACAATTTGTCTGTCAGTCCATATTCACGACCGGTTCCATACAGAATAAGCAGGTCAAATTTGACTATGTAATAATTAAATATGAATGCATTATTAATCATATACATTATTAGTATTATATTTTAATTATATTGTTAATCATCATCATCATAATATGAGCTACTGCTGAATAGGTTTCCCCCATAAAGGGATTGTGCCAGTACATGCTATGCTTGGTAGGTGGGTTGGCAACCGCAGTTAGGCTTTTATATTATATAGTTTTTTTTTTATACAACTTAGAATGGCAAACAAGCTGACGGCCCACCTGATGGAAAGTGGTAACCGTCGCCTATAGACATGAACAGTACCATGGACATAACAGAGTATACCGTTTCACCTATGATACCCCTAGTATTTTATAATTATATTATTCATGTTGTTACTGAATCTGAATTCAATTTGGAAGTGCAACTGTTAGTTTTATGAGTTTGTTGTTTTCTTTCTTATTAAGAAATAAATTAAAATAAGGTAATATAATAAAAATAAGGTTATATATTATTATATATCTATTTAAAGTGTATTATATTATAATTTGAATATTTGAATAATGTTATCTATAGTATATCGTAACTAAATAAATTTATCGTGCGATTTTATGAACTTATTTAAAATAGTTTAATTAACTCTATTATTAAGAAATAAGAAAAAAAAAAATGGGAATAGGCAATGGTATTTTATAAATATGTAATTACAATAGTTCTAAAGGAAAAATAAAAGAAGAAAAAATGAAGTGCAAGTGTATGCATATTATATTATATATATATATATAATATTTTATTATTTATATATTAAATAATAAAATATTAATGAAATTATTACATGGCATTTGACAAAATTTATAAGATCTTAGGTTTATTAAATGAAAAAGAAATATCAATAATTTTATTTCCATTTAATAATTTATAATAAAAACTTTATCTCTGCTGTATATAATTTGATCTATTTGGTTCATTGAGGAATTTCCGAATTGTAATCTACATGCAAAATTTTAACTTTATACATTTTAAAAATAAAAAAATATTTATATTATTCTGGGATTATTAATTAACGTAATAAATAAACTATAGATTAGTATAATTTTATTTAAAAACTATTACTTTTAACGTTATGTAATATTTCATTATTACTTAATGTAAAAAGTAATAGTAATAAAAATAAGAATTTTAGTTACAGCTTGAATATATACGGGTTTACGGTAATTCTAATGATATCTACACCACCATCAAGTAATTTTGTATTCAAATAATTTCGCTGTTTATAAACAAGAGAGAATTGTTTTTGTTCCCCGACCGCTTTAGACAAAACAAGAACAGGACAGAAGTTTTATTTTCTTTTGTTTATAAAAAAACCAATCGTAGAATCTAAAATCGCTGTCTCTAATTTTACTTTTCGTTTGAAATTCCAATTAGGTCAATAGGAATACATTTAGCCATTTTAAATTTAACTGTAAACCAGTACTTTTATTGAGGGAAAACAGGGTTAAAGCAATTTTTTAAATCATTGTATAAAATTGGTTCTGTTTCCATGATATCTAATTAACGAATTTCGCCCGAACCTTCCATTTAATTTGGAATGAAATTTGAATAGTAGGTATATTATAAACAATATATCGACATACAATTAAATATGTTCGAACACAAGCCCTAGAGGTTTAAGTGGTATTAAAAATCTAATTTTTTTAATGTATTTATGTATGATAACTAAATAAAAAAAAAGTATATCAATATACGCGACATCTTCGCAAAATTCTTTACCTACTGACTTTGATAATTTTTTTTGCTGTCGCAATTTATTTCCGTGTTAAGTTCACAGTAATTTTGTTACGACTTGATAAATTCAAAGGTCGATATTTAATCTTAGAATCTCTGAAATAGTCAAGCGCTGACCTACTGAGATATTACGGCTTTTAAATCTTATTTGATCATGGTAGACAGGTTTAAGCCTTTTCTGATATTTACAGCTGTCCACTTTTCACTTACACATTGTATACTGTTTCATCATTATTCCAGCCGACATTATATTTTGATAAATGGCGAACAACTACTTCTAAAGCTGATAAAACTAATAAATCTGGAGAAAATAAGAACCGGCACGAACTCAAGGAACTATGTAATATTATGTACATTTCTGCCCAAGACGAGGATCGTAATCCCTTGAAATCCTTCATTATAAAAGCACTGCATTGTTTAGTAGTTAGAGAATTGATTTATTTCTCAGTACAACACTAAATCAATTAAGAGTAGAAACAACAGCAACGATTAATAATTAAGACCAATTAGTAAGCAAATAATAAATGTAAATATTAAATAAAATCTATCAAAATAGAAAATTAAATATATTTCTAAGTTAGCTCGAAAACGGCTGGCCCAATTTAGCTATTTTTTCCCCAATATTTGCTAAAGTCTAACAAAGGTTTATGAAAAATAAAATTGGAAAAATGCCTGAATATATATATCTATATATAATATTTTTTCTCATCCAAATTGATCTCAGCTATCAATTCGAATATTTTAATAGATTTTGACAGAAAGACGTGTATCGAATCAGTTAGTTTAAAGTAATAGTTACGTACAAAATATATCTTCAAAGTGTACAAGTAAAAAAACTAATAAACATCATTATTATGATTGCATAAACAGCTTTTATTAAAACAAAATATTGGATACTCAGTTTCCTAGAAATATGATAGACTGGAATAATATGCTATAGCGCTTTTAAATAGTACTGGGAATTGGTAACGAAATTGAACATCAATTTGTTTAACTCGTATTTTGCAATCAATAACATGTTCTGTTATTTTATAATGTTATGCATGTCTTTATAGAAGTGCATAGTTTTTTTTATAAGTAGTATTTATACTATTAAATTAATTAATTAATTTTAAATTAAACTCAAAGCCTGGCTTTTTGATAATGTTTTTTATAATTTAAATGAATACTTCAATCTTAAAACTAATTAAATTAATAATTAATAATAATTGACATGTAAGTGAAATTATGTTTATTTTATTTTAATTTGGTTATGATTATTCTTTGTCTTGTTAATTGTATTGTATAATATTTCATATTTGTTTTAATCAAGTAATGGTAATAGTATTGAATGTTTCGATGTTAATATAATTACCTGTTCTTAAATTGTTGCATGCCCGATAGGGTATAACTGTTGATACTGATGTCAAATTCAAAGCAATAGTTACTGCTATATGTATGTACACAGTTAGCAATAAAATTCTATTCTATTCTATTCTATTCTATTTTTAAAAATTTATACATCATCATATCAGCTTCTATTCTTCAGTGATGAACATAAGCCTTTGTTTTGCCAGTAGTTTCTACGCTTGGTAGGCGGATTGGTAGCCACAGTTAGGCTTTGGAGATGTCGTAAGAGGGACGGTGTTGCCCATCCCTCGCTCTTCCTTAGTCGACGTCCCCCTCTTACGATGCCCACGGAAAAGCAAGGGGTGGTTTATTCTATGACGGGATGCGTCCCGAGAAAAATTTATACAAAATCAATTAATTGCAAAGTTATAAATAAAGAATACTGCAACATGAAACTAATGTTTATCAATTATTTATTATATAATACATAATAAATTATATATTTTTGACTAACATTTATTTGATATGTAAATTTGAGTATTTTGTCGTCAGGAATGACAACACATGAAAACAGACAATATCACAGTATATTCTGCTGTGATGTCATAGTATTGCCTAATATAATAATGTCATAGATCATATTCATGTCTATTGAAGACGGTTACCACTTTAGATGGACCGTCAGTTTATGTTATTATATGTATTACAGTTTTTTTTACTAAAATATAAATTTGTACAAGATATTGAGGGTTATTTATATTTATTTAAGGCTAGCTATTGCTTGCGGCTTTGTATGCGTGATTTCGTGTTTTTTTTTTTAAGATGAAATCTTCGAAAATACTTTCTTATTGAATGCATATGTTATAAAACTAACCTATGTCCCAAATTTCTTATATAGATATTATTATCATTATACTATAACTTAGTAGTTTAAGCTGTATCTTGATAGTCGATATTATAAATATAGATAGTTTTTATCTTAATTATCTGTTTTATTACAATAAGTATAATCTATCTTATCGTTTAGGAATTTATTTAGGGGTCTTCTACTATTATATTGGTGTATTGCGTCTCTGTTTTAATTGTTTAATTAGTTATTTTTTTCTTTTTTATGTAACTTAGAGTGGCAAACAAGCTGACGACCCACCTGATGGACATGAGCAGTACCATGGGCATTTCTGAGGACTAAGGTGTTATTCTTTTGTACTTTGTAAATTTACTGGCATCCTTCCAAACGGATGGATCCCACCTTTCAAATAGCTATACAAACACAACTACTTCACGGTAGAAACATGAATGGGACAGAGGTCCCCAAGCAAACCACTATTGTACAAAGTCTCCCTCTGTTATAATGTAACGATTCAATAGCATAAGTAAGCAATATCAATTATGAGAAATCAACATATCTGATTATATTTCTTTGTTTCTTAATTTAAATATTTTTATAGCCCGAGGCATGGCAGAGAACAGAGCTGAGCGCGGTCCAGCCTGGCGGACTACGTAAGTCCTGGAGGGTCCTCAGGCTACGAGTACCGGCTACAGTCAGCGGTGCATTGCGGATACGCTGCGAGTCCATACTGTTGGTCGAACCGCCCGTAGTTCGAGACACGGCCACTATTATCACTGTGCATTCACAGACGCAGTTATCGAAATACGTTTCTAATAATAGAGGTGAGTAGTTTTATTATATAATACTAGTGAATACACGTGACTTCGTCATTGTGACGAGGAACTGTTAATCGATCAGGAATATATATGTATATGTCCTTCTTATTTCTAAACTGTACGTGTATACCAAATTTCATGAGCCAAGAATTCAGTCACAAAACATTAATATATTAAAAAATTTTAAATGTTAAAAATAAATTTACTTTTTTTATGTTATTATTTTATTAATTCAAACATTTGTTAAGAAATTCTCTATAGACGTACTATTTGGAAGAAATATAGGCTACTTTTTATCTCAGTCAATCACTTTACCCGGATGAAGTCGCGGATAAAAATTTAATTAATAATATTATATTATATTATGAATCATCACAATGGTGACAACAGATTAATGTCTACTCCCGTAGATAAATGACAAGTGAATCTATCGATATATACGTTTTCACTACTTTATGCGCTAGAATGAGAAAGACCAAGTAATGGAAAACAAAACGGATCTCCATTAAATTTAGGCGCTGTTATCGAAAATTCTGATTAAAAAGTCTCAACTATTCAACACTAATGTACTAAAAGTGCTTAGTAAAATTACGCTCTGCACGCGATGATATATTATAATTAGTGGAAATTAACTTTTATACCCGACAAACAGGAGACATAATTAGGATTATGGTGTTTACAGACACTTGCAAACGTACTAAAAGATTTTCTCTTGAAAATTTTCAAGCTTCCACGTTGTTTTCGCGTTTGCGAATGTCTTTGTACTCTGTGTTCTAATTATGTAATAAACATACATATATGTAAGAAATTACTTAGCAAAAACATTTCTGATAATAAACTTGAAATTTTATTTGAATTTTGTTATTGAATTAAGACGTCACCCAATTTACAATATGTAGATTCGCAGAGTCAAAACAGAGTTTTTAGGTTATGGAAGATTGATAGACAACGGCTTATGATGAGGTAAAGAAGTTATGAGGTACTTTTTGAGATGTATTTATATTGTAATATTATGTATGAATACAATTGGATCCGTTCCATTGAAGTACATCTTTATGTTACATTTTTAATAATTTTATTTTTATATATATTTATCTTCATTTGCCTCAATAGTGCGATCGCAATGCTCCATTGAAATTTGGTCACACCTTATAAGGCACAACATAGACAAGGAAAAAAATATAAAAAAGTACGATACTTATATCACAACATAATAATAAGATCTACTTTTATGCATCTACATAATTTTTTTTATTTCGAATGTTGTATAATTTTTTTGTCCTATCTTATCTTATATCATGCCATCATATTTGGTAATTATAATTTATAATAATTAATATATAATAAACTAAATAATAATTTGATACTACAATTATGATTAATTATCCTAATTTTAGTATCAAATAGTAATTAAATTGTTGATTCAGCAAACTTTGCACGATATTTTAAACAGACGAAATTTTAGAGAAATAACTGCAATTCCTTGAGAAAATACAGAGGTCATTAAAAGGATATAAATTAAGGAAGTATATTTTGTTTCACAAATAATTTAAAATTGTGTCCAAGAAAAAAAATCGGCTTCTTATAACCAATTATTTTGATTTAAAAACTAAATGAACTGATAATAAATTGTTTATGGTACCATAATATAAGTACATCCTTTCATATAAAAAATAAAAAATTTTCCAAATCGGTTTATAACTGACGGAATTATGAAGTAACAATAAAAATTTGGAACTCCTTTTTTGAAGTCGAAAGCAGCATCTCACGTGGATTTTATTCTTGCAAAAGTATTACCTATTTAACCCTATTATTGGCCTTTTTGTTTCGCAACGAAAAAAATCAGCTCCAATTGTCACAAAATTAATATGGAAGCAACATGGAAATAAATTTTAAGTTTAAAATTAAAAACATCATTTAAATTTATCAACAAAAAAAAATTGTTAAATGACTAGTTTAGATTGCAGTTATTTCTTTTAAAGCCTGTGGTTTTTTTAATGTTTTATATTTAAATTTTTTACCATTTGGTTTCAGGTATAAAACTAACTGCAAATACTATTTTGTTAATTGCAGTAACATGGACTCTTATTGAAATATCAACATTTATGAGCTTATGAGGATGGGTTTGAAGTTTATCTGGTGATATTAGTGTAAGTGTAGATAATTACGATTGGCCTACATCCCGTGTACCTACCACAAATGTAACAAGATAAACGTAATATAAACTATAGAACAAAATTGCATAATTATGTATAAAAATCCAGAAACAAAGTTACCTAAGGAACCTCATAATTATGTATTGTGAAGGATTTATTATTTTTTGTACATTCTAAAATATTAGAAACTGTATAAAGTAAGAATATATAAAATGGATATATCTAGCTATCCCATTTACCGATGTCAAGGCAGGTTTAGTATATGAAATTATTTTGCATAGTTTTTATATGAGGAAATTAAATAAATATGTTACAGATATAAGTTGAAATAGATATTGCATGTACGAGTTCTTCTGGAATAGACTTTCATAAGCTCTGGCTATGTTGTCTAAAATACAGAAGTGCTACGTGTATTTTTATCATAGAATCTTTGTATCAAACCACGCGTATAAAGACTCTGCAGATGTACAATCAAATAATACAAACCTTTATCGTAGTCTGATTATGAGATGTAGCAACAAAGCCTAGTTTCAAAGTGAACTTCCTAAAATATATATCAATGAAAGTTTATTAGATTGACAAAAAAGTACGACAGGTGATGTTCTGAATGTATTTGCTAAGGGAAAAGAAGCTTACTATTTCTAAAAAGCTTTTATAAGATCACGGTGAGTAGTTCAATAGTGGCACGCTTAAGTTTCATTATAGTAATGTTTGCGTCATCTATCTTTATATACGTCAGTGGTAGATAATAGTTTCGGTACCTACAATTATGTGGTGTCCACGGACGTATAAAAACTTGGGACTCTGTAACGTCACATTAATATCATAGTGTACGAGAGAGTTCTTTATGTTGTGATAATACTGTGTGCGGCAAAGTAGTGTACACAGAAGCATTCAAAGTATACCAACTCGAAATATTTGAGAGTACTTCATGATTTACGGTCCTCGCCGGAGGCAAGAGTCCTAAATGTACTCTCGGTAGAAATCTAACCTTGCTAAAGTAAAGTACCATTGTTTTGTTCTAATAAAATAACTTTCAAAAACTTTTGTTATGGTCATGGACATATGTTATGTGAATATATATGATGATATGTTCCTGGTAGAGATATATTTGAAATATACACCGATTTTTTATAATAAACATATTTTTAATGTTGTAATAAGATCATTGTGATTATGTTACTCTCTTGTTTTGAAAATAATTATGTTTATGGTGTTACTATTTAACAGTCCTTCATAACATAGTCACACATAATCATAGACACATACTCGTAATATTTTTAAAGATGTAATTTAAATAAAAGTTAAGACAAAAATATCATCTTGTTTTGTATTATAGCAAATTTCCATAATGATTTCAAATTTTTTTAACTTAATGTAAATGTTCTGATGTACCACACCTGATTGAAAAAAATCTTTTAAAACAGAGCTAAAAAATCTTTTCTCACCTTTATTTATTCTTTTAAATTTTTGTAAAAGAAATTAATGATGAAAGAATTTTTAAAAAGACTATGATTGTCTGTCAATTATAGGGTTTTTAAAAATTAGTTCATATCATTTATATCGGAAATTGTTGAGTACTAAAATTCAATTTTAATAAGCATCTTCAAATAATATCGACGAGTAATTAAAATATGGAGAGAAAATAAGTACTTAAGATATAAGTAGATAGGTAGTTATAACTTTCTTTTTGATAAATCAACATAATGTTTACCTTTTTTTTCCTTAACAATTTTAACAATTTTAGTTATATAATATAAAATGAAGTAAGTATACGAGTGGTATAATAATTTACTCGTACGTGTGGTGTAAAACACTATATGTACTGTGTATTGGGTATTTGGGAGAAAATACGATTCCCAACTCGTTCGGTATGATGTCCTCGCCTTTGGTCCGGGCATTAAACATATGATCAATTGTCACACTTGTTGGTAATCGGTCACTTTTTTTTCTTATTAAATAAGATACTATTTCCTGTACTTGTTTTTAAAACCTGCCTTAACATCGCAAAAAAAAAAAACAATAAAATTGTAAAAATCAGCATGAAAGTATGTTTTTTTATGATGTCACTTTTGTAGATCTTCTGAACGTTAATTAGTTATCTATACATAAATTAATAATAGATGAATTATTAGGCATTAATCTATGGCTGTGTTTTCACTTAAGATAATGTCAATTCTTTGCACGACATCATCTTTTAAATATAATGTACAGTGACACAAAATTGATGTTTTGTTTCTGTTTTCTTTGTATTGTATTTATTGTAAATTTTAAATGGAATACGTAAATAAAGTTATTGAGAAATATCATTGTTTGGATTCATTTTTACATTGTTAATGATGTAGTTCACAATTATGACTAGCTTTAAGATATTACTAGTTTTACTATTATGACGAGTTTTCCGCGTTCAGTAAGTATATTAATAGGAGCATATCTATGTCTCTAAATAATAATTTAAAAACTACTAAACAGAGTTTGATAATATTTGGTGGCGATAACTTAATAGTACAGTTAGCATTAAACGTCGATGAACATATGGGTACAGATTTGTAAAATCTTAGTACATATAAATAGCTAAGCAAGGTTAGCGCTACAATTGGATGATGATTGATTAGTTAAATATAAGTATAATAATAAGTATCACACAATTACATCAATAGCCTGGTCCTCAAACTAGGATCTTCTATGTTATGAGGAACCAAATGATGAACATCGGGGACACAAAATACACAATTTATATTTTATGAAGTGTAGGGGTGGTGAAATCTTGATATTTTCATCGACTTTCGACGCCGACTGTATTATACTTTTTTTCAATATTAAAATAATATATCTTATGAATAAAAAAAGGGAACCTTAGCTTAATTTACATTATTCTTTTTAGGATCGATAAGAACTACATTAGTCACAAAATGATTGTGTCGTAGCTATTTACGCTTGCTCCATAACATGGGGTGCAAAATGTTAATATAGGTATCAATTAAATTTCTCAATCACCTCTACATTGATAGTAAACTTGGCAAACAATCCTAATTAATCCCAAAAAATGGCAATAGTTTTGTCACATTAGAATAAAATAAGCTTGGCTACTTTAAGGCGATTCCTGAACAATTGACTAGCTCCTGTAAGTAGGTAATTTTGAAATATAAAGTATATATATTATAGGTACATATTGTAACTGTAAGTGTTACTATAAACAGATCAAGCAGAAAATAGAAAAATAATCAAATATATGCGTATTAAAATTTGCCAATTTTAAATTTTTTTATTTTTATTTATTGATTTTTTTGGACAGACTCTAATTGGTGACAGTGTAGGGATATTACTTGTCATCTCTCTTTCTCATACTTAGAATATCGTAAGGACCAAATGTGGAATAAAGCATAATATATGAGTGCAAAAAATATTTAAAAATTTCTATACAATCTGACACTTCTTATAAGAGGGGCTCATTTCCATCAGTGGGGCATTTATAATTTATTACGTTATAGTATTGTAATTTGTTGTATGTTGTATTATATATCGAATGTTAATATTGTAACATATCTTCTGTTCGTAGTTTCTCTACTTCTACTGGCGTTAATGTATAATAATAATAGTTGAAATGGGCGGGCCTTGAACCCGCACCCTCGTCATCATATTAGAACCAGTGCTTTTACCAATATGAACTATTATTTCCGTAAACGCATAGATGCTTGCCTTAACATTTATAATGGTTATTTGATTAGATTTTGTTTAATTTCACTATCATTAATGTGTATAACCGCCATCGTAAGTATACAAAAATATTCAAAATTATATAAAGGAAAAATCTGCATAGTTTTATAAATTACACAACTTTAACTTTTGTTCGTTTTACTCGTATTTACATAGAAGTTGATACGGCAATTATTATTTTCATTTATTTAAACTTTAATTTACAGTGAAATTCTATGTACATTTGGTGGACTTAACACCGGACAGTGTTCTCTGCTAATCAACCATTGAGTAAACAGAGAAATGAGAAAATTGGAACAACCAATACATATTTACAAAGTTTTATTAAAATGATTGAGCGGTTTCGGAAATTAATGTGAACGAAACTCGTGACAAAAGATTTTTACAATATATATTAAGGTATATGTTGCTTATAATAAACTACCGACTTCTAATATAAGATAAAATAAATAATAATAATAATAGAAACAAGAATATCTAATGTGTAAAATTATTCATCTCGGCAGATAACAATCTCCCGAAATTACAGTAGCATCATAACAAAAAATTGCTAAAGGAACTTATAAACAAGTCCATTGAAATAAAGTATCTAAGTATATTGTATAAATTTGTCAATTTTAATTAAATAAATATTACATGTCATTCCATTACTGAGATTGCTCTTTAGATATCCCAAGGTGTTATAGAAGATTCGTAAAGCGGTTTTAGTGCAGAGAGACATTTTATTGACACTATAAATTAACAGAAGTGGTCACAAAGTTGTCTTCTAAATTTATAGGTGTCTTCTAAATTTACAATCAAAAAGTAAGAAGAGTCGAAATTAAACGGGAATCAGTAGCTTCTATAGTACGCAAATATTTGCTACTAATATTATACATTTCTCGGAGTTACCATGAAAAAGTTATACTTGCGATAAACAGGTATTAATACATATTTAGATGTTTTATTAGTTTCAAATAAATATTATTACATCGACTAACTAATGTTTAATCATTTAGAGTTTGGTTAAACGTTGTTCAAATAGGTAGTGTTTCAAATATTTTTTAGGTAAGATCGTACATTTTTAATGAACATGTAATTGTTTGAGTCCCTTTGGATCCCTTAGTTTCAATTAATACTTTTAGATGTTTTAGATTTGCCTAGAACTTGGTACAGATATGAAGTATATCCTAAAGAATAATGATGAAGTAATCCTACGTACCTAATCATAAAATAAAATCATAGGAAATAGTTACCCGTATTAAATATATTTCTTTATTTTTTAAATAAAACAAGTCACAAGTTCTGGGATTATTAGATTAAAAATAATAATAGTAGAATTAGTGATTTCTAACCGATTTAAAAAAGTTCTCAATTCTGTTTAATTTTTTTAAGTTTGTTACATTATAATTCCGCCAGTTCTAAACCGATATAGAAAAGTCTTTTTTGTCTAAGAGAATATACTTACAGATTAATCCCATAAAAATGTTATCTAAATCGGATTGGTAGTTTAGTTTTTAAATCAAACTAGCACTAAAATATAAAAAGTAGTTTTGCTATAATTAAAGGCGGTTTTTGTGGAACAGAACTTAATTATGTTAAGTATGGAATAACACAGTCTAGGGATTTTCGTGGTTTAGTTTTACCAAGAATCATTCGGTGTGATTAATTAATAAGTCTAATTTAAATAAAGCGACATGAAAGGAATAATTACTAAAATATAGGATTTAATGCAAATAGCGTTAGAACCTATTAACAAATCCATTTGAAAATATATTATACATTCGGGTTAATTTAGGTTACACACAAATCTAATAATCTAGTTGCCCTGTTTCAATAGTTAACATGACATAGAAGAACATCCCCGGTCATTTCTGTTGGCCTATGATAAGAGAAATTTACATTTTCCACCAACTTCAAAAACAAATTTTCAATTCAGAAATATTTACTTTTTGTTTGCTAACTCATAACTCTGACAGTTTTATACCGATTTAGAAATTTATTTTTATTTATTTAATAATATATTTAGAAATTATAAAGATATAAAGATATTATTTAAAAATATATTTTGTTACTTTTTTATTTAAAAGGACATACAGATTATTTTTATTAAAATTTTATCAAAATCTGTTCAGTTTTTATCAATCAATCAATTTATTAGCATCAATCAATATAACTTGTTTTGCCACATTTCAAGTCAGTCTTTTTGTGGAATACGATTTAAAGTTATTATATTATTAGGAAGGAATTATTGTTAATTCGCTACATGTAAGGTTTTTTATACATATGAGAAGAAGTACATATTTTTTTATATATATATATATATATATATATATATATATATATATATATATATATATATATATATATATATATATTACCGTTGACGCTTATATAAAATTTAATAATTATAATTATTTACTTTTACAGCCTACAGGTAATTTTTTTTTCAAGTAAATATATATTTATTACTCTCACAAAATAATTTACAGATACATAGAATAATTAGTTGATTGATCTTATATTTCAATAGGTCTTTAGGTAATAAATTAAATAGTTCACTAAATAAATATAGTAGCATTTTTTTCTAATATTGTAGAGTTAAAAAGATATTTCATTTTTCGATAATACTTCTCTCTAATCTCGCTATTTAACACTTTATTTTATAATATGTGTTTAGAGAAAAGTGTAGACTGAAAAGCAATAAAGTGACAAAGATCGAAAAGAAAATGTTACATTGGTTTGGCCATTTTAAGAGTATGAATGAAAGAAGAATTATGAAAGAGATTCATCGAGCATGAATTAAATGGAAATGTCGGTAGAGGCCACCCTAGACGGACGTATGTCGACCAAATAGGCGACGTATTGAAGAAGGTCCGAATTAAAAGCACCCGCACTGACGAGTGTGTATATGAATAGATTGATGAATGTGAATGTAAGTGAAAGAGGTCTGTTTGAATCAGAGTATTTGGCGTTTCATTGTTTCTGCTTACCGTAATGAGAGACAGACGCAATAAAAATGTATGTACGTATTATTTATTCCTAATTTAGTAATAATTTAATTTACCTTCATTATTGCATTAGTTCTAGTAGTATTTCCTAAATTTTATAATTTTTTTTAACAATAATTTTATAATTATTGTTAAAATAACACAAGATTTTACTTTATGTTCTGTTTTTACGCGATATCTTCACCATTTTGTCAACAATTATGATGATTATTTTTATAATTGATAATGTTTATGGTCATTTATTTAAAATAAATGTAAAAAGTATCATAATATGCCAGCACCTCTAAAATGCTTGTGGAATTTTCTTGCTGTTACTAAAGAAATACCTAGCACTAAAATTATCCAATATTGACAGAATAATATTTATGAAATTTCGTTATTTATCTAGATATTAACTAATAAATTATTTTATCAACATTTCGAACTATTATACGCTTTTTCTCAAAGATATTGTCAGCTTACATTAAGCTAATATAATAGCTAATATTTCTTCGCATAAACAAGATGTGTTTACTAAAGGGTTGTATAAGCCATTGCGCATATTATAATGTCGTAAACGACTTGAGTT